AGTTTGGCTCTGTAATGTTCCGTAAAAGTTTGCTACTGCAGTTGACGTGCTCTAGAATAGTCCTAAAGTCTTACTCGTTTAGATCTTAAAGTTCTTTATTTCTTATCAAATGGAGAGGCAGAATTCTGATTTGTCTTCATAAATACCGAGGCACGAGCATTAATTGAATAGCGAAACGAGAAGCAATGCTTTGTCGTTATAAGTTGGGGAAAGTGCGAAGATATGAAAGTGTGCGTCAAGATATCTTATGACTATATAGTGCTAACGCTACTTTACTACTTTACACACGCCATGCAGAACACCAGCGTAGCTGCTTTCATATATTCAACGGCGATTTTAGTAGTAGCTATTGGCAAAAATTTGATATTTTTCGCCTTTCGTTTCGGATTAAGGATGGTAGAGAGTTGAAGAAACATCCCTCGTTGAGGACTCTGTTAGTTATTGAGTTCGAAGTGTTGGATTACATGTAATATTTTTATAGTGAAACACTCGCCATGCTGACAATTCTATTTTTGGTTTATAGAGCGATGATAGCAAATCGTTGTTACACCCAATCCTGTGGTCTAATTCACCAATAATCTCTTTTTCGCCACGAGAAACTAAACAACCAGAAGGCTGAATTTTTCATCCCATGTTCTGCAAAAGCAGTCTCAAACACGGCCACCCGCGTTTTGATTATATTGGATGAACGTGATTACTCGGCCAACGTAATCAACTCCCTTTCCTAATCAAATATACTCTTAAATACAGGTGCTTTCATAAAATATTGGGCAAAGAGGCCATTCGTGTTGAACGTTCACATTGTCGTTGTAATGTTATGCAGACTGCAGTTAAGCTGGTCAATTCTGCCATAATTCTCGCCTTTTTGCCCACACTTTACAATATAACCGAATGCTGAAGTCTGCGCTCAAATAGATTTTCAAGTTTGTTTTTTCAAAGTCTCTTCAGTGCCAAAATTCAATTGATTGTTAACTTCAAATCCTAAAAAAAAAGTAGGAATGAGGTTTTAATTTGTTTTCTCTTGGGAGTAAGCAGAAGGTTCGCGAGAGTTTCCCACAGGTGGATCCAAAAATATCCATCATGCTTCTTCTTTTTGGCAACTTTCCCAAGTGTACTACTACAGTGTACCCAAAGCTATATAATGCTGACCGTAAGATTTTACAGAAACGAGAAACTCTCATGATAAGTAGAACAATAATAAAATTTCATAGGAAAGCGAAAACTCAAAGCAAACATTGCATCCATCGGACTCTTAACTGCAATCGCTAATTCCCAGTGAAATAATAGTTGATGGGTAGGTTAGTAGGTAGTTAATAGGTTGATGCGGGTATTTGAAAATGAAAAATCTGTAATGCCTCAAAATGCTTCTCAAGCTCTGAGGACGAATTTTTACAATGTTCATGATGTATCGCTTCATGATAAGTTAACTGGTTAAACTTTGAATCGAATAATTTTGACGCTCATCCTCCAGTCAAACATTTGTCATTTTCTACTTAGAAGATTTACCGCATTTTATTTATTGTCAAAACTGATGACTTTGCCTGAATATTCTCTTTTGGGATAATCATAAGCTACAAGCAAAATCTCTATTTGCATTGACTCAAATTGATACATTTTTTGGGCAACCAGTGCAATAGATGATCAAACATAGGTGTCAATACGAATTAGAGCTTAAAAGCATTACAAAATTACCGATAAACGTCATTTCACAAAAAGGATACAACATAAGCTCACGCGTAATCACACATTGAAATTACAGTTCTCACCGCAAACACTACTTTCCAGCGAAAAGTTTATAAGATAGAAGTTGCTTCAACTAATGCCCAATGGCCCTGCGAAGCCTGAAACGTCATTCACATATTTCTACTGAGAAAAAAGAGAACACATGCACATTTGCTTGGGTGGAATCAATCATTTTGCACAGCAAGTCAAAAGATTTCAGAAAAATTTCCTTCCATCCGCAGGAAAATTTCACTATAATGGCAATTATCCGACAATTCTTTGTGTTCATACGGACAACCTTATGAGCCCTGTTTCAAATTTATGAAATTGCAAC